TCACCAAACAGAGCGTGTATTCCCACTGAGTCTTAGTCTTGGAAGGGTAACTCATTCTAGATTCTGGGAAATCTCTTTAGATGTAAGGCTCAGTTATCATTTTATTCTGCATTTCAGTATTGTGCTTGGCATTTAATAGATCTCACTTTGTAAAATCTCAAGCACCAAATACAGAGTAAGAACCAGATGGTGGTACTCATAACCTCCTTCATGCAAACTAGAATCTTCAAGTTTTACGTAACTGCAAGCTTAACTTTGGGGTTGAAGTTTTAGTTCAAAAGATAAATGACAAATAATCCAATTTAAAAATAGGCCGAGGGCAGGAACAGACACTTCAGCAAAGACATTCAGGGACCAATAGACATATGAAGGAATGTTCACAATCAACAGTTAGAAAAATGCAAATCAAAAACATAGTGAGGTATCATCTCACCCAAGCATTAACAGCAAAGTTAAAGAAGAAATCAGAGAAAAACAAACAGCTGCAAAGGTGTGGAGAGACTGGGACCCTCCTATGCTGCTGGTGGGACTGTAATATGGTGCAGACACTGTGCAAAATGATATTGCCAAAACGTCAGGAAAATAATTACTGTACGACCCAGAAATCCCTCTACTTGGTACATATTCTCAAGAAATAAGAGCCATGACATGAATTGGTACATGCACACCCATGATTATAGCAGCACGATTCTCAAGAATAAAATGATGGCCCATCAATGGAACAAAGGATAAGCAAACTTTGATACATAGATACAGTGGAATGCGAAACAACTGTGAAGAATAACAAATTTACGAAACACCTCATAACATGGACAAAACTGGAAGATATTATACTTAGTGAAATTACTCAATTACAAAAGGATAAATATTGTATCAGATCACTATTGTAAAAAATCAAGAAAGGGCTTTCATGTTAAAAGGAATATTTTTGATAGTTACCAGGGATAGAAGGGAAGGGAGAATAATTAACTAGCTAGAGTGTTGTTAAGTGCCGCTGAGTCGGTTTTGACTCACAGTAACCCTGTAGAGGGTTTCCAAGGAGTAGCAGAGGATTTGAACTCTGTGGTTCGCAGTCCAGGGCTGACCCTAAACATGTGTTAACTTAGGTGATGGTGAAGGCAATATACAACAAGAGGGAGGTTGACAGAAGGATGAAGAAGACAAGAAAAGACATAGGGAGAAGTGTAAATATTAAAGAGAAGAGAGATAAATATTGCTATATACACAACCTTGCAACAACAGTGATCTATGGGTAGATACAGAGACAGATATACAGGCTAAATGGGTATGGAAGGGGGAGTATATCCACAAATATATTAAGATTTGATAGAGGATAATTGCATACAGGAATTTTCCTTCCTGAAAACATCTATGCATGTGGTGGAGCATGTTGTGTTGTTAGGTGCCATTGAGTTGGTTCTGACTCATAAGCGACCCTGTGCAAAACAGAATGAAACTTTGACCAGTCCTGCGCCATCCTAACAATTGTTGTTAAGCTTGAGTCCACTGCTGTTGCCACTGTGTTAATCCATTTCGTTGGAGGTCTTCCTCTTTTTCACTGATCTTCCACTTTTCCAGGTATGATGCCCTTTCTCCATGAACTGGTCTCTTCTGGCAGTATGTCTGAAGTATCAGAGACAAATTCTGTCATCCTGACTTCTGAGGCACATTCTGGTTGTACTTCTTCCAAACAGATTTGTTTGTTTTTCTGGCAGATGAGGGTATTTTTAATATTCCCCAACACCGTATTTCAAATGCATCAATTCTTCTGTGGTCTTCCTTATTCAATGCTCACCTTTCACATGCATATGAGACAACTGAAAATGCCATGGCTTGGGTCAGATGCATCTTAGTCCTCAAACTGGTATCTTTGCTCTTGAACACTTTAAAGAGGTCTTGTGTCACATATAGGGGGGAAAATTATGAAAATTTCTTTGACAATACCAAACATCACGAGGGAATGAGTTGCTGGGCCTGGGTGGATCGGGACCATGGTCTCAGGGGATACATCAGTCAATTGGCATATCATAGTCCACAAAGACAATGTTCTGCATCCTACGTTGGTGAGTAGTGACTGTGAACTTAAAATCTCATGAGCGGCTCTCTAATGTGCAACCACTGACTCTCCCTTAGTGGAGGAAAGAAGAGTGATGATAACAGAAGACTCTTGGAATCAATTAGTTCGATGACTACTGGAACACAGAAACATCAGTCTCCATGATCTTTAGAAGAACTAGATGGTACCACTGCCAACTGCTCTCAAAGGGATAACATTAGAAGGTCCTGAATAGAGTGGGAGAAAGTGTGGAACAAAATACAAAATTATGAAAAAGACCAGGTCAGAAAGAGACCAGAGAAACCTGAGACTATGGCCCTTGATCACCTTTCAGGTCTAGAACTGAACTCACTCTCATGGCTCAATTTTCAGCCAAGCAGTAGCTAGGTATGTAGGAGGATAAACAACAGTAGTAAAGTAGGTTCATCATGGAATAGTAAACCATTCAATATCAAATGGGCAGTACTGATATAAGAACAACCTTCAGAAGGGTTGGGAAGGAGGGTGGAATGGAAACAAGAATCAGAGAGAGGAAGTGTGACAACAGACATTACAAGGAGGGGACAGAGATCATTTCAATGAGTCTGAGTTGTTAAACAGAAAACTGATGGTCTACTCTGTACATCTTCATTGAATTCACAATAAAAAGTTAAAAATAAAGATAAAAATCTCAATTTCTAGTTTTAAGTTTAAAAAAAATCCAGTATTTGGATCTCTGTGATTTTTTTGTGTTTGTACGTTCAGATATTTACATTTAGTCATATTACAATTAACAGAAAATATGCATACTACTCATTAGTGGTTACGAATCGGGCTGCGAACCTTAAGGTCAGCGGTTCGAAACTACCAGCCACTCCACGGGAGAAAGATGAGGCTTTCTACTCCCGTAAAGATTTACACCCTCGGAAACCCTGTACAGGGTCGCTATGGGTCGGAACCGACTCGACAGCACTTAACAACAACAACAATGCATACTACTCAGGTATCAATGCTGGATAATCTTCATGGTGCATGTTACCAATCAATCAGGTAAGAGAATCAAGCTTCTTAAGAGGGATGTGAAATAACATGTACGTAAGTTCGACTCCAGGGTTTGCAAAGATGTGGCTTGGGGCAGTTGTTAAGTGCCATTGAGTCAGTTTCGGTTCCAACTCATAGCAACTCCGTATGGGATTTCTGAAGAGCAGTTGGTGGGTTTCAACTGCCAACCTTGTGGTTAACAGGCCAATGCTTATCCTACAGCATGTACCACAGAGGGGACCAAAAATAATACAAACCACATAGCCTCTATACAACAGGGTATGCACTATAGTTGTATTTCTCAAGAGAGACTGGTTATTTATGAGTTTCATCTTTTTAAAAACTAAAATTTTATTTGAGTCTATCATCTGCAAAGTCCCTTCTAAATTCAAAAACGTCATGATTTCTACCCATACAAACATGACACATGAAAGGATGACTCCAAAAATGCCTCTGCACTGAAGCCAAACAGTCTCTGGGACTAGAGTGGCATGCAGATTTGTTTCAGTTCCAAGTGCAGTTCTTTCTTTGTTGTTGTTGTGGTGTGCCATACAGTTGATTTTGACCACAGCAACCTTAGAGGACAAAGCAGAATTGGACCCTGGGATTTTACAGGCCATAATCCTTAAGACAGCCAGTTCTTTTCTCCTGCAGAGTCTGCTGGTAGGTTCAAAATACTGACACTTCGGTTATCAGCCCAGTACTTACACACTGCACCACTGGAGAGCCTTAGTTTTGCTTAAGCACATGACTCTCTCTCTCTCTCTCTCTATCTATCTACCTATCTATCTATCTATCCATCCATCCATCCATCCATCCATCCATCCATCCATCCATCCATCCATCCATCCATCCATCCATGGAGTCCTGGTGTGGTGCCACAGGCTAAGCACTGGACTAAAAAGTCAGTGGTTCAAACTCACCAGTCACTCCTGGGAAACACTATACAAGGGTCGATAGGAGTTGGACCCAATTTGATGGCACTTAACAATAACTATATATATATATAAAAGCAGAATTGGCCCCCCGGGATTTTACAGGCCATAATCCTTAAGACAGCCAGTTCTTTTCTCTTGCAGAGTCTGCTGGTAGGTTCAAAATACTGACACTTCGGTTATCAGCCCAGTACTTACATACTGCACCACTGGAGAGAGAGAGAGAGAGAG